TATATATATATATATATATATTTGTGTATATGCGCGCGCGCATGTGTAAAAGGAATGATCAGAGAATATTATACGAGCCTTCAGTTACTCTCAATTTGAGTGCTACCTCCTTAGGATCAAATGTGTCAGAGGAGATTCGAAACCTCGACTTGAGGGGTTTTACACTGAGGATGTCATCCCTGTGTATGCTAAATATTCGAGTGTCACACCCTACACAAGGGGGGATTAGAACCCGTAACCTGAGGTGGCTTACGATCTTCAGAGAGGCTGCTCTTCTAATAGGCCACGAAACACACGCACACACAAATCTATACATATATGCCACATGCATATTACTATTATTAGCGACATTAAGGAAATCTATATTTGCCACATGCTTGCTTCTGCCGCCAACAAGGCCAATAAAATCAGGCAAGGAAAGACCATTATCAAAAGCAACAAACAGATCACAAATATGTAGGCCATGACTGATGAAAGCATTATAAGTTGAGTAATTTTCATAAGCCCCTGATCATGATCCAATGTTTACTCTTTCATATCAATCCAACTGGTCCGAAGAAGAAGATAAGGGCTTGTTTCGCTCCAACCCGGATTTAATTTAAAAAAAGTTTTAGTAAATATGGACTTATCAAATATAGATTCGACGATGGTTATGCTTGCGACCTGTTGCATAATTGAGGTTGCGATGCTTGCAATAAATCCCTTAAATCTGGCTAACAAGGAGATTCTAGATAGAAAATCCACTTTAATATTTAACTTTTCTTTTTTGGGTGTTTGGTTGGATTTATGTTAAATCGAGGGATAAATCCAAATGAAAGTATATGCTACCAAACACTGCCTTATGTAATTACATGTCAACAACTGAACACATGGGTGGGTTTGGGTTTAGTAGCTTCTAGATTTATCGTCGGTCATGAAACCTCACTCAGAGCTCGCTCTGCTCGCCCTCTCTAACATACTCACACATTGAATTCTTAACCAAATGATTCAATAGGTGCATACTTCATTCATTTATCTCATTTGTGTCAATTATACTATCTCATGACATGATGATGAATAATATATTATTTTTTAAAACATAAGTCAACAATAATGTGCATTTCTTTTAAAAAATAATGGATAATGCGCATTTTCTTTTAATTCTTTAATTTTTATTCACATCTATTTGTTAAATAATAAATTTATAGATTTTGATTGATGTTATTCTCATATTCATGTTAAAGATGTTTGTTTAAAAGACTGAAACATACATTTCTCATGCATAAATATGACCGCATGTATGTAAAAATAAAAGTTTTAAGTTCTAGATATGTAAATACATAAAAACGGAGTGGCATATATGTAAATCTCCATCTGCAACTAATGCTTTCTCACGAGTAGAAAGCGAACCGGCGGCTGATGTGAGTGAATCTTCTGCGGGCGTGCTGGTGGTCATCAGTGCTTAGCTCTATATTGATTGGCCGCTTTCTCTATTCGCCAACAAAGCCAAGTCGGCTACGTAATTCTCATTCGACCGCCGGCGAGCCGAGCATTGGTTCTTCACGTCTCCTTCATTGAATAATCTGCTGGAAAGTGAAGAGAGACAATCCGCATAATTCTAAGTCTAATTATATTATAACTTTACATGCACTAAGATTGATCTTCCTTTCAGAATATGATCTTTTTCCATGTATGATTTTAGAGATAATAATGTTAATGTAATAGTGCTTGTTATCTGTTAGATTCGGCCGAGTTGAAAGCCATATAAGTATTACGATAAAATATTCCGTTCGGGTGATGGGTGTGCTTTGATCGTACCACGCCGTCAAACACTCGAGTGGACTCAAACGAGTGAATGGCAAGAGAACACGTTCACTAGCTAAGGACGGGAAGAAGCTCGCCAAGTCGGGCTTCGCAAAGGTAGGTTCGAGACGGATTGGCCAATCGGATTTGAAAATGGGAGAACACCCTAGCTAGTTGGACTTGTTAGTTCGATCATGAGAAAAGTCGTTAAGCCAGGTTTCAAAGCATCTACCTCTTAGAATCAAAGCAAATTCAAAAAGCAACTAGGAGGACGGACATCTATTGAGCGCACGAAGAACCCTTAACTTGCTAACTCAACTCAAATAGTCATGAAACTTAGAGAGTCACTCGACGATTTAAACATAGCTACATTATTTTTTCTCGTTCTTTTTATACTTAGAATCCATTATATAGCCATTTTGGTAGAGCTCATCATTATTATTAAAATTCTTAACCGATAGAAAAATTTTAAGTAGTATATAGCTTAAAATACATTTTCAACATACACATATAGAAATATAAGAGGCAATCATATTTTGTATGTGGCAATTACGTACGGATCACCCGAAACATGCTATTTACAAATATAGCACTTTCTTTCATCCATTCTTTAAATTCTCACTCAAATATCAAA